AGCTTAGAGGGCTCAGTATGATAAAAAGTTATGCCCCAAGAGTTAGCCTATTTGGGCGACTGTTAACTAACATTTGCAAGAAAATATTTTGTTTAAGGCAATTTTATCGTTGTCTGAAACATTCAGCCAATAAAAGCTTAATAAATAAAATAGTAGATTCGAAATAGACAAACATTGATATGGCTTTATAAAAAGAATCTAAAAGCAATGGGAGCAATCTATGGAAAAATACCAAGTTGAATACTCTTTAAATTGCATTTAACCATAAGCCAAGTTATTTTCGAGGAAAATATGTAATCCTCTGGCAACGAGAACACATTGTGATTCTTAGCTAAATCTGAATGGAGTTAAAAATGACTACCACGGGGACTATAAAGGATAAATTGCTTTCACTACTTTCATGGTAGAAATGTACCCAAAGCAATAAAAAGCTCAATTCGCATAGAGTATGGCCGGTTTCAGCCTTGTCAATTACCGATTCTTTGAATCAATGAGTCATAAGGAAAAACCCGATATCGCCTTATGTACTTCTAAAGGTATAATTTGGCAATCTAATTTAAATATTATCCACATCTCGTAATTAAAATAATTGCAAATTATGGAAGAAAAAACACAATTCTGAAAGCTACCAAAGCAACATATGTTAAAGACAGGGATTCTTGTGCTCGAACTCGTTTTCTGTGTATATTAGCAGATAAAGAAGGTTGCAATCAACACTAATTAAATAAAAAAATTTCAAAAGTGTTTTTGTTAATTCACTTTGGCCAGAGGTAATAATTCAGACCTGCAAGGATCGCCTGAAGAAACCTTTGCAGCCCTCGCATGAGGGTACTCCATAATGCACACCACTGGCCAAATCGCCGCACACCATACAAGCCATGATTTCATCCGCCTGCCCACCATGGTTTCTGATTACTGGCTTATGTTCACGATTAGAAGCATGTATATTAGATCGATCGCCCTGTTTTATCTCCTCTTCTGGTCGAGTATTTTGACTATAGATATCTTTATCGCTAGTATCTGCAGCTCTAACTAACTGGCCTTCATCTAAAAGGCTGGTGACAACAGTATCGGATTGTGATGGTCCGAAACGTAAGAGCATGGTCTGATTAGCCGGAGAGGTGCGAAAGGCAAATGTCGAGGATGTAGGTGTGGCGGAGAGTGGAGGCCAGACGTAAATGAGATCAGGGAGCATGATGAGAGGGTCTCCAAGCGAGTCAAGCTCAAGGGCTTCAGGCTGATCTGCGCTAGTCTGGGGTGGCCAGGTACAGCGAGACGGCTAAAAATTATTCCAAACAAAGTCAGGCATTGGAATTGTGGAAAGCAGGGGATTAGAAATAGGAACATAAGATAAATTATATTCAAGGATGAACATAAGATGCATTTAAATTTAGATCTTAATTAAAAAATCTCTGAAGAAACCATTAGATTAATCTATCGATCGATATAGCGCATTGTAATAGGCGTTGCTTAGTGCTTAGCACACAGACCTTTAGAATTGTCCGAGGCGTCGGGGAAATTTTGTGGAACGTACCTAGTCCCGTGTCCTCGGCCATATTCGTGATTTCCAGAATTGGACTATTGGCTGGGTACATTACCAAACGTTTCGCCGGCATCGTCAGTGAGAAGCGACATCGTAAGTACAGATTTACAACTTATCAGTGACAAGTGAAGGAAATCCCCTTGACCAATTTTCTGTTCAAATGTTTTGACACCATTCCTCACCTTCCACCTTCTAGTGGCGCATCTCTTTAGCTCAACCCCACTTCATATGGACCATCCAATTATTCACAATTCTTTGCTCTCATTTCCCCTAATGTCACATAAGAGTGTGTCGCTACAGGCGGGTTCAGTGAAGCGTAATAATATCTGTCACCAATGCCAGGTGCCGTTTGCAGGGCTCTTGACATACGTTGTGTACCTACTTGTCAATTGGCCGCTGCAAAACATCAAAACCCCTGTTGAAGTACCCTTCATTTCGTTTTAAGAGGCGAGTAGAAAGGATTCGTAAGTTGGTTCCACCGGGGGCTGTCGGGGGTTGCATTGGAGCTGTGGTTGTAGATTTGTGAGGATAGGTACTCGGGATCGCAAAGCGGTGCGCCGAGGACTCCCCCTCAGCCCCCGGTGGAACCAACATACGAATCCCTTCCACTCGTATCTTCAAACAAAATGAAAGGTACTCCAACATCAATCTATTAAGGAATTCTTCGAAACCCAGTTTTTCTACATCAAAATAACTATTTAGCTGTCTTAAATCTGGCTGTCTAAGAGCCTTCAATTCCCGTCCACGATTACGCCATAGTCGAGGAATTAGAGTAGATTATGCCCATGTCCATGCCCATGAAAATATTCCCCTCCCTAGGCTTCAAACCAATTACTCGGTTATTGTCTTTCTCAGCCCCACCAACATTGTGTCTCATTCTTTCGGGCCCTGTGCCCGGCGTAAGTAATAATCGCTGGTGTTAAAATGAACCGCTTTCTATTTTTCCCTAGAATCGCGAAAGGCACACAACTTTCGTCTTTCTGCGACCATACCAGGAGCCACAATATCTTGATCTTCATATCTCGTCCGTCAAATTGGCCCTCCCATCTTACGATGGCACTTCTCCGTGAAGATGCCGGCGAAATGTTTGGGAATATACCGAGCCAATGGCCCAATCCTGAAAATCGCCAATACTATGGCAGAAGACACGGGACAAGTTACGTAACACAAGGTCTCTACTACACTCCGACCAAGTTGCGAAAACAGATTCGAACTAACACTATAAAGCTAAAGGAGACTTCGATTAAACAGAAGGCAACACTATCTTGGTCTTCATATTTACGAGCCTATATTGTGTTTATTTGCTCATACATTTCGATGTACACTAATATTCTGATTAATTAGACATTTAAGCTTTAAAGTTAACGTAATAGCAACACCCTGAGATCATAATAGGGCAATGATAATCAAACATTCATTCCTTAGACTTATTACTTTACCCATGGAAAGTACATATTTTACATTAAAAGCTGATTTGTATGAGCACACAAAAGGTTTAGCTATGGGAATATGTTTAGCTCTTATTTCGGCAAATAATCACACGGCTGGGTTGGAGTTTGAATTGAATTAAGAGGTACTCCTAGCTCCAAAATTATTATTTAGGCATATTGACAACTACTTTGTAATTCTGGCAACATGGCACAGATAGATTGAAAAAATTCCGTGAACCAATTAAGAGATTAAAGAGGATTACTAAATGTACATAGGAAGCCCATATACGTATGCTTCCTTATTAACTTAACTCTTATAATCATGCAAATGGGGTCAAAATAGAAATTATGAAATAGATGATAATAAGATTCTACGTCTAGCAGACGTAAACCAATGGGAGCAAAAATATGAATATTGGGGATTTTTTTGTTTAAAGCACTCATCCAGTGGGATTAATATACAATTGCTTCTGGCTACTCCTAAATAGAATGCAAATAAATGATTACTTAAATCAAGATAAACATAGACAGCATTATTTAGCTTCTGATGTTGCCGAAACGTGAGGGTTCGCAAAAGGTAGGTGCATTATTGAGAAGAAACATTAGAATAATAGATAAAGAGAAACCAACTATTTCCTAAGCTATGCCTCATTTTAGAAAATTTCCGCACCCTCTCTGGATCATGATAATACACAGTTATGTGCTTATGTGCAAGCCCATACGAGATTATCGGAACATAAACTCGTCTGTAAAAGTAGATCGGTCCAAAAAACGGAATTGGCCGAGCATATGGTTAGAACAGGACACGCAACAAATGGCCTAAATAGTGTTTCAAAGGCTAAGTGGAATTCACATCCAAGCGGAAGATAAGGGAGTATATAAGAATTAAAAAAAACTGTCAGCCTCCCTAATATGAGGAAAGAGTGTAGGATATTAAGTGCGAACTATTTTTACTTCTAGATAAGGTCAAGAAGAGGGAGAGGGAGCAGGAAAAGCTGCTGAACAAAAGGAAGAGGC